TTCTGATGAGAACAGTGTAAGCGTTCAAGCAAACCACTTCTGAAGATGCAAGCCACTCGTGCTTGCGAAACGTCAAGAAGAAATTCTGCCGAACGACGGCCTAAAAACCCGAAAAACCCATTAGTTTCAGAGTAAAGTAAGTTTACGCTTGCTTCAAAATTCTCATCATGTTATTGTAAACGAAATAAATGCGAATATTGCAAAAGCAAAGAGTATTACTGAACATAGATTTATTGTCCGTTCGTAGTTAATGGTACTTAACAACTGCTCAAATGCACCGTTAATGCAAGTGCAAGTTTACGTTAATTTGCCCTCAAGCTAATGCCTGACAACACAAAGAACCAGCCAAAACCTTTTGCGTAAAATTGACTGTTTTTGGCGTGACCTTAACTGATCTTCAGTCCTGTGAAGAGCAGGGAACCGGACTCAGACAAACGATACCAGGAGGTTCCAATAAAAATAAAAACGATCTGATAAGCACCCGTCGAACTCCTTATTACTTAGTCCACTTACTACTCAATCAATAGCAAAAGACCGCCGATTGAGCAATTCCTAGTTTCCTTGTAGAACATCGACCAACCGCACTGCTATTCGTTGCCCAAATACATTTGCGTGTATTGCTCATAAATAAATGGCGAGAAAAAGTTGGCACTTTACAAAAAAAAACTATTTTTCATGCAAACTTCCATACCAACACCACCAAATAAAAGCATTCCCTCACCTTTTAGTAGCACACTGGTACTGACAAAGGTTTCAGAGGAAGGAAAGCTTCACTCTGGAGGCGCTCCAAAAATCCATGGACAAATTATGATCTGTAACAAAAAATACTATTAAAAAATTGAAACTAATTTGCAAAATACTGTCTCAGAAATTTGTAAAAGTTGGAAGGAAGGCTGGATAACGTCCATGCATAACCAGCAGTAACAGTTGGGGCATAGGTGTAACAAGGACACTTAGCAGACTAAAAAAAGGAGTTTCAAAAGAACGAAGCAAACTAAAAAAAGGTAAGAAAKGCTGCGGAGGAAAATATTGGAGTGGAGACCCCCAGAAAGATGGAAAAGAGGAAAACCGCCCACAACCTGGATAAGAGGCATTACAAAAGCGATGTCAGCCAGAAAACTCTCAGAGGATGAACCCAAAGSCGTGTAACGCTATGATACGATGATTATGATGGGAAAAATACATACTCTGAAGGAGGATTTTATGGAAAAACAATAAAACAACCTCATTTTCCATACCCTTTTAAGTGAAGCTCGGCATCTACAGTTGTTAAAGCAAAATAAAGTCCCAGAGAAACAAAACTGGCTATAAATCAAAAATGACTACCTCGGCTGGTATCACGCTACATTAAACGAAACAAATTTGGAGAGTTTAGTATTATCTCTGCTAAGAAACTAATTTCTTTAAGTGCGTTTGGCAAAGCCTCGCTGCTTTTAAACTCCTGGATTTGCTTTGATACTCTCACTTGGTAAATATCATAGCGCAAACTGAAACTTTTCTCATTTCAGCGGAATTCTCTTTTCCAAGTAAAGGGGTAATATATTTTGTCGGAAATGTGCGATGTTTTAAATTTGAAATAAACGACCGCTTAGTGCTGATGGATGGTCTGTATGAAGATAAAGATCAAGTGGATAGTCGTTGTTTGCATATGTAATTAGTATGTGAGCACGGTCGGTTTTGCTTTATGCATTGTTAAACGTCCACAAATAAAGAAGGCTACATAGGCATCAAAAACTGAATGGATTTATATCGAAGATTCTTCGGAAAAAAGACGGTTTGAATAAATTGCACAGCAAAATTTCTGAAAATAGATCGTAGGCGACTGAATAGGTTTATAAGCGTGGTCTTTGTGCACTTAATAATTGCTTGCATAAACGAACCAAAATAATCTGGAACTGAAGCCAGCTCGCAAAAGCCTCAAAAATCCCCTTAAAAGGTAACTTTTATGCCTGCCAAGATCATTTCTCTGTAAGAATCTCATAAAAAATGTCATATATTTTATGTCCGGGACCATGCAATTAATTGTGGATGAATTTCCGTAATTCCATCTGCTGGATTTTACGAGTTCAATTTTTTGCGTGACAGGCCTTCAACATTAAGACAAATTTTTCTTTAAGAACAAGTTTCTAAACATTTTTCCAGTTATTTTAGTCGCACTCAAATGCACAGTTGTGTTCAACTTTGTTTTATCGAGTTTCGATAAATTCAACAGTTTCTTTCAATTTTTCAGCTTATCTACATTTACCACTATGGCTTGTGTATAAATTTGCAAAATTCTAACGTTTCAAATGCCCGACTGCGCAAATTTTGATCGTTTGAATCGGGTCGACACAACTGGGCTTTATTTAACGGGAAGTTTGAAAAAAGCCCAAACATCAAGGCGATTTTCGAGATTGTTTGTGCTTAGTTGTGGGTTTGAGTATAAATTATGGAATTTTTTGCTGTTACCTGCTCGAGATTGCCAGTTGCATTTTTTGCGCACAAGAACATAATTTGGCACAGCAATTGATGCCTGTGTGAGTGGGTTTTATGAATTAGCAGAGTTTTTGTTAAGTTGAAAAGTACATATTAATCTATAAAATTTCACAACTTCCACATTCTTCAAAAAAAGTTGACAATTTTTTGCAGAACTGTTCTAAACAACCGGAGTTTCCAAATTTTCATTTTTATCCTTCGAGTTTAAAATTTACACCATCAGATAATTTATTTTAGAATTAGGGAAATAATTTCACTAAAAAAAGTATTACGCATTCATATGAACACTTATGAAGCAATAAATTTGGAAATTTTTTCGTAAATCAAGTCTTTCAGTGCAAGTTTTCCACTTGTACTGGGCCGGTTTAGCATCATATTTTAAATATTTCGTTCTTACATCTCCTCAAATAAAAAAAGCGTAATCAAAACATTGAAAAGCGTAAACAATTGCTTGATGGCCGTCGAAAGCAGCACTAATGGAAAACCTAAGTGACCTGTACAAAAACAGGAACAAAGTAGCGATTTTCCTGCAATTAAATCATCCAGTGGGAAAATGTTCCGCCTCGTTTGTCTTCGCAAGCCTATAACTGATTTAATTACCGTTACAATAAAGGCTCGTTTTCTTTGTTCGGAAGCAGGTGTTTATTACACGTTAAGAACCGATGTCAAAGCAATTAATTTCGCCCCCTCAATTGCGATCCGTTATTTTGACCGGCTGTCGCCACCTCTTAAATCTGGACAAATTAAACCTTAATACGTGTAACCGGCCATTTCATATCCAGCAGCGAAACGAATGATTGCATTTAGCTGATCCGGTTTGTTTTTTTAGAGGAGATTTTTCGTATACCGTCCTTGCTAGAAGGCAAATTTCAGTATTAATTACTCGGCAGGTTAAAAGGAGTGAAAGGAATCAAAAGCCAACCTTCACTAGCCGATTTCCAAAGAGTTATGAACCTTCGGAAATATTTATTTGGGGCCTGCAATTTCCTTGTGCAAACACCCTATTCCGCACGCCCCCCTTTTCCAGAGGTTTACACTTTTTACTGCCATCCACTAGCGCACCACCGGCTTTAGTTAAAGCCTTTAAAGGCTCCTTTTCATGAATGAATGATGTTTCATTATATTTCTGCCGGTTTTAGTTTCATTTCCGAACAATATATTGTGGCCCGGGGCCCGACTAAACTGAAAATATTTTACATAAGGAGATTAGATTAATGGAATTGTTCTTGCGGAGGCTCGTATATTAATGCGCTTTCTTCTGTTTAATTTCAGTGGATTTCATTGCCGTCTTTAATAGGTACAGCATAAAATGAAAATAATGACAAGAAATTGCTTAAAAGTGGTAAGAACTCGGAGATTATGCTTAGTCAATGAAAGTGGCTGAAGAATACAAAAATATGGACAGATAAGGGCAAAAAACCCAATTTAATAAAGTGGAAATTTCGATGTTAACTGTTGATTTTTGACAAAGCACAAAAAACCTGTTCTTAAACTAAATCATCCTGTATAATACTTAGTGCGTTATTAATTAATGAATTTACCGCACCTGAGAAACCTTTTTGAATGAAATACCCGATGTAAGACGATGTGCTGTGATTTTCATTTCGCTTCAGAAACAATATCGATCTTCTAAAGTTGAGCAAATAGCAATTTTCTGAAGCACACTGAAATCACAACATCGCGGCTTTGTAATATTAACGTATGCTAACGCAAAATCAATACTTGCCGAGCCACCGAATTGTACATGAAATTGGCGAAATAGTCAAGCAAAGCGAAAACAGAACTGAGTAATTGGAGAATAATTGAAAAAGCTGCGGAAAGGTCAAATTACGGTTTTTTTCGCTTGCAAAGTGACTGGACGTTTTCAATTTTGCTCGAATATTTGATTATTTACGGTAACAACACTCATTTTGTGGGATTACGACTTTCAATTTGTAGTTAAGAAAGTTCTAATATAGAGAATCAAAAAAGACATTAATTTATAATTTAAATTTAAAATTCCTTTCGGTATTAGACCAAACGTCCTTTAGAGATCATCGTTTCTTCTCGCGTTCTCTTCCAAGCACAATATCTGTAAGTAACATCAATCTTCAACAAAGAAAGCGCCCCAAATAAAAATAATTACCTATTAAACTAATGGTAATTACTCCAAAGGACGCAAATGGACAAAATTGTTTAAAAGAGAAGGTTTTTAGCCGTGCTTCCAATTTAATGAGCGGGGCTTTTGAAATCAATGAAAAATATCAGGAGAAATTAACCGAAATGGCTTTTTGCTGTGCCGAAAACAACACAGTTAATGTTTCACATGGAGAGAATTTTTAAACAGAACAGGGCGATCAATGATTGTTTTGCATGATTTCCAAAACAATTCCAAACAATCCTTAATGGAACTAATGGGTTTGGTTTGCTTGAACGCTTACACTGTCCACTTCTGAAGATGCGAGCCACTCGAAGCTTGCGAAACGTCAAGAAGAAATTCTACCGAACGACGGCCTAAAAACCCGAAAAACCCATTAGTTTCAAGGAATGGCCTCGAAAGTCTATCTCTTTTGATAATCCTTAATGAGTCGACTAAAGAATTCTTTATGAAACTTGCTCAGATTTATAAGACATTTTCCCGTCTGTCGAGGGAGAAATTAAATCGACTGAACCCAGAGAAATACACGGAACGTAAAATTAATTTGCGAATTCCTTTCAATTTCAAAAAAATCAACAGTTTGTTGCATTACCTATTGAAATTAATAAAAATGCAAAAATTTACCACTAAAAAGCTGGACACCATTCCGCGGGTGCTTTTGAATTTTTCAAGCAAAAACATATTTTTTAAAACTCAAATGCCTCCAATTCTGCATGATTTATATAACACCGAAGTTGAGAAAGCTGCAAAGCGCTGCATGAGAGCGCAAAAAGCGGACATACGAAAGCTCAAATTTTGGCGATTTTATAAATACGATCGATATCGAAACTCCCACAGTAAACTTTACGATTAAAATGCAATCTTAAAATGTTCAATTACTTAGCCGCTCTGCTCGTTTTCTGCTAGTAGGAACCTGGTTTTGATTAATGGGCATCTTCAAATGGAAATTCTAATACAACCACTTACAATTTGTTTCACCTGTAGATTTGTTGCTTCCTTTATTTCCCGAAAACTTGTTATTTCCGGCGATGATAAATGGGCTTGTTAAGGAAAACCTGGATGAAGCCATGTTGAAATGGGACGTGCCTAATGGGTTGCTTAGTTTTTCGTTTCGGACTTAGAAGAAGTACTTTGGCAATTTCGGATATTGTCATCAGGCTGCGGTGGCTCATTAATTTTGGGCGAATTTCCGACGAAACTCATTAAGCAAAAAAACCTGCCACGTCACTGCAAATTCCAGCGGGACTTTATTCGCAATTTTTCCATAAAAATGGAATAAATTCCCAAAAAAAATTACTTAGCCCACTTTTTATTACCGGAGCAAAGCGCAGATTTGCGCCCTATCTGCCTCATCGGGCTCTTTAAAAATGTTTCGACAGTAAATTCTGATTTTTTTACGTCGCGATAATATATTTCGGACTATAAGGTAACGGTGGTATAATAATAATACGGAGAAGGACTTAATAAATTTCTACGTAAAAACAGCTTAAAGGCCTGAATGCAAAATTAAAATGTGACCGGAATTTCATGGAACTTCAATGGTGCTCGAGTACAATTTACGACCTCAGGTTTGTTTTAATTAAAAATTACCGGGCGCAACTTCAACCTCTCATCCCACACGCCGATTTATTAAATTATTTAATGTCATTTTATTAAATTTATTGCTTATTGTATAAAATATATTTTGCTGCAATAGAAAAAGCATTCATTTAGCAAAGTCGATGTCAGCTAAAAATGTGCATGTTTATACATACAGACCAAAGTTATTCCACGAAATATATTGTATCAATAAAAAATTACTTTCAAAGCATATTAAATAATGAATCGATTCAGATCCGCAAATTATGCTAATAACGCAGCAAATTGTAACAATTCAACTTTAATGTCGTGTTAAATTGTTTTTGCAATAACTTTGTGCGTGGACATAAAATCGCATTTTTCCATGCGAGTGACTTCCTAGCCATAGCATAGGTGCATTTTGGGGCAATTTTAACTCAAAAATGTTCGTCGACTGTTCGCCAAAACTCAATTATTACGGAATTTGTGTCTTTCGTATACGGACGAAGCACGCCTTCCATGTAACAATTTTGGGTTAAAAAAAATGATGACACTATTTCAAAGATTTTGGCTATAAAACAAGTTAAGAACTCTTCATTGCCTGAAGATGCCTGCACTTAAAGCTAACGAAATTTGCTCAACACGCAGCAAATTAAGTGCAACAGCTTGAAATAGCAAAAAGCAGTTCAATTTAACGGCAAATTGAAGCGATCGATCACAAACTACTCCATAAAATATTTACAGTTTGCTGCGGCATTCTGTAAGTGAATCTCTCCATATCCTGGCATTCCAGCCGTTTAAAATAATATTCGAAGTCAATTCGACATCTAACGCTACCCTGAAATATGAATGGGAGTTTCATAAGTTTGAACTTTTCACTTCACTTCGTCTTAATAGATATTCCAAAAGCATGCGAGCTCTCGATCAATACCAAGGGAGAATCGCTGAATATAAAAATGATATCACAGAAACTACCTGTGTATAAAATATTGAAATACATATTTTATCACCCCGAACGTGCATATAGGGATGGTTTAATATATGCCTGATAGTAGGCTCCGAACTGGTTTCACAGCAAAGGGCTCAATTTAATTTAAAAAAATGGGGAATCTTTAAAAAGTTATGAGTGCGATTATGTTTTACGGTATAAAACGCTCGCTGACCCAAATAATTAATAGTGCGGCTTTACTAGGTTGGAATGGACGACGTTATTTATATAATGTTAATTTAAGGAAAATAAATAATGTATGATTGAATGAGAAAAACGTGTAAAATATATTTAGATTTTGATCAAATTAAAAAAACTGGGTGACTGAAAGTTCCGCGCCTAAGTGCTTTTCCATTAAACAGAAGAGGTCCAAAGCAGGCAATTTTCCCGTTAGGTTGCTAACTTTTAAAGGCTTTCAATTTCATATAAATTTATATGTAGGCTCTCATTTTGTTTCAACGAAGACAACTGACAAAATATATTGTTTCAACCAGGAAACAAATTTCCGTATGCAAATTTATCAGTCTTATTCTGCGAAGATTGAAGGTATAAAAATTGATCTTGCTTTGTGTATAGAAAGGGATTTTGCCTAAACGAACAAACTCATATCCTTTACAAATTTGCAATGAAGATTCCAAAAGCTCATCAATCAAAGTAAGATGATAATTTACGTGTAATTGTTGTCTAGAAGGGGCTTTTTATGGCGCGATTATCCCCTATCTCAACTAGTCTCTAATCTTGCCATCAATAAACCTAGCACTGAAGCTCCCAGAGCTTATAACTCGTAATTATCAATATAGAGCAAGCAGAATAGCAACAAAATATTGCCGGATATTATCAGCAGCATTATTGCAATTATCATCAGATTCCTCCTTGTGCTTAGTCGCGTTTGTCTCTCATGTACAGTTTCACTGTACAATTCCACATTGACTTTATTGTGAAAGGCCAGTTAACATTCGATGGTAATGCCTTTCCGAACTTTTACTACTTTTGCGATGCCAGCAATGAAGTTTCCAAATAACGGCCATTAGTGCGCGGCCCTTAAATGGAAATGTGAAACTTTGTTGCAATTTTTATGAATGGCTTACTCCCCGAACATCTGAGACTTAACGTTTATGCCTGCCCGCCACTAAAGCGAAAAACTGTTATGCGTGTTAGAAAACTGGTTTATTACAACAATATACCGTGGGCGGCGATGAAATTGGGGTAGATAACATTGTTTGCTGTTCGGCTAAAGGCATCAGGACGGGATAAGGGTGGGAAAGGGCGACAAATTTCGTTGCTTTGCCCTAAACTCCTAAAGCTCTGGTTTAAACTCAAACTCAGATTAACAAATGGAAGAATTTTACCCACTAAATACAGTTTTATTCGGAAGAAATAAGGGCTGAACAAAATTTTTAGGGCGTTTGTTTTTATTGGAAATTGATTGGGGGTTATTAGCGTCCAACATAGCCGGGCTTCAACAAGACAAAGGAACACCAATCATCAATAATTCCCCAAAGACATTGCAGTCCTACCTGGCCTACCTTATGCTCGTTTAATGGAGACTAACGCATCCATTATATAAGCAAGATATTTTGTATACAGCAATTGTATTCACTCAAATGAATTAATTTTTTGAGCACAATCGTACACGAACAAGCATGTAAGAATCGAAAAAGACACATTGAAAAGACACAGAGATCGCTAACAGAACGTGTGAATTAAATCGCTTTTTACATTTTGAATATAATTTACTTTTTTAACTTTAATTAAATATAGTTTATTTAAACGATAAGCGAATGCCCTAGTTTTTTTTCAACTAAAAATCGCCTTAACTTACCCATTCAGGTTCAAACAGCTTCCGGTGTTTTGACTGTTGTAACCTGGAAGAAAAATGAAAACCAACATGAATGATACATTTTCTTTCACACTACAAGAAACGCTTTTTTCATTTTTTCCGTCTAATAAAAATGTTTTTACAACAAAATAAATACTGCTACATCCACAAAATCAGCATTTTTGTAAAGAAATGCCCTCATAAATTCACTCAGAATATATTACGCCATAGAATTATAGGACAAACAACCGATACTACTCTACTATTCAATGGTTTGAATGGAATTTTTTAAAAATTCTGCATTTATTCTGTTGATTCTTATTCAGCACGCATTTTCGCCCTTAATCCAAGTTTCCTTGCAAAATGTTTCCCATTTTCAAACTCACAATCACTTAGGATTTTACTTTCCACACTTAACGAAATGAACAATTCTCAACATATTTTCATATAAAGAAAAGCCTTAACATTAGCAACGGCATCAAAGAATAGTGCAAGATTATTATTGGCCACTAGAGGCCCGACAAAGTCCTCCGCAATTTTCCTTATATTATAACGTACGAATCCCTGAAGGAGCAGCTGCAGGAGTTGCACAACAGCGCTAATTAAAGTGAAAGTCATGGAACAGCGTTTAAGCAGCAGCTTTGGCTGAAGAAGACAATACAAGAGGGAATATTAAATATTAACCAAATATTGTTCGACGTTCTAATGGATTACGCTTGTCTATATTTTAATAATGCAATTTTTTCCAAGCACCAGCAGAGTTAACTGAGAGAAACAATATAAACCTAACTGTACATAAATAATTGAAACCTTCCGCAAATCTTCAAAGGTTTTAAGAACAAATTTGCCTTGTACTTTCAACTTTATCCTGCCTGGCATTATTGCTTATTTCATCTTTATTTGCTTCCGCTCCTTACAATTTCCAGCTTCTCTACTAAGCACAATATTGCAAACGAAATATTCTCTATGAAGGCGGAAAGCTTAATCGACATGATTGAAAAACTTCTTTGAGCAGTTCCGCAATAATGCTCAGTATCCGATTTATTTGATGAGCAACTATTATGGGCATCTTAAGTTGATCAGGGCCGAAAAGATGGACCAAAACTAGCAAAAAAATTGTTTATCAACCGTGCGTATTCCTTTGCTCTAGTTCTATTTGCGATCATATCAAACACTCGTTTTAAATCATTTTTTCTCACTTGTTCAGGATCCAAATAAATCACGTTTACGCGTTCGTATTAGTATGTTATGCAGATTCAAACGTATTCAAATTAAATGGCGAGCCGGATTCAGCTCTCCCTGATTGACACGATTACACATTTAGATTTGATAAGTGAGGAGCTCCCCACATAGCAATTTATCCTAATGTTGCCATTGAATTAGACAAATTTATCTCGTTATTAGTGATTAATGATCGCGAATATGCTATCTGATGCGATATAAATTTCAGACGCGCCATCCAGCACCCAAATACCTGCATGGATAATTTTTCAACAAAAACAATTTTTGCCAATGAAGTTCGGCAGACTGTTAAAAAATTAGTTGCCTTTTGAGTGGTGATTTATTCCAACGCTGCACTCATGGATGCGTGGCATGTTCCAAAATTATTGCATGGCTTTTTGTATCAAAGTTGGTTTTAATCGCATTTTTTCTATGATATGGGATTTTTTGTGGAAAAAACGCTTTAAAGCACACAAGAGGAAACAATGGAAATGGAAGTGACAATAATTAAACATTGCAAACGTTTTCGGGGAATTTATTGGAGAAAAACTGGTTCTAAGTCAAAAGCCTCTAGTGGCCAAGTTCCAAGCACCAAACCGCGCATATTTATGTACAGATTGCAAGCAGAATAATATTGCTCAAAGCGCCTTTAGAATAAGAACGGACGCATTTTTTGCTTCTGCATCAAATAATACTTTTAGATTTTTACAGAGTTCCTTTGCTAAATGAGAATTTTTTGAAGTTGAAAGAGAAATTAATACATATAAAAAAATCATCCACTTTTCGGCCAAGCTGAGTCGAGTTAGATCGTCACATGTAGTGGAAAAAATGTATGTTGGTACATGTCCGCACCATTCCTGGGGACACCCTGTACATGGATTCAATCTCTTGAATCTTTAACATTAAAAACTGTGATTGCAAATCGATTTAAGTGAAAACTCTCGAATCAGTAACCACTTTAAGCATGAGACTTTCGTAATTATAAATCACCGCGGAGTGTCGCCCTTATTCCGGGCCCCTTTCATAAAGGCTTCCATTGAACGTAGTAATTTCCGATTGGTCCCCACAAACGCTCAAAATATGGCAAACACACCCCTACAACGGAACCTGCGACTTTCACTTGAAAAGCCCAATGAATTCGGATCTGATATAAATCGTCCATGTCGTTCTACAACCCCGACATTTGTACCCGCCGCGTTCTATAATGATGTTAATCACGAACTGGCTTGGAAAAGTGCACGGATTGATGGAAAAGGGTCGTTTAATGGAAAATTTTAATTTTGTACCTAATTTGAACTACGAATTTCCATGGAACGATGTCGGTTTCGGAGTCACGGTTTGCAGCAAGTTGAAAGCTTACTCCAATCTAAAGCTGTTACTTTTTGCAATGGAAAATACGAAAAAAACCGGTAGAATCGCAATTTTTAGATTTTGCGCTTTTTAGCAGAAACGTCCAACAATGGCAGCAATTGTTAAAATAAAATGGGCGCCCAGAAGAATTATTTAGGCTGATTTTTTCAATAAAATCCAATATTAAAACAGCTTCAATCAAAAAACGAGATTTTCCGCATTTTTAAATCAGAACTTTATTTTTTTGGGCACCCTGTGCAGTAAACACTAACAACTGCACATTTTTTTCAAAAATTGCAAAAGTTTCATAATCGAATATCGAATAAAACTAGAATCTGAAAGAAAATCTATTTTTGATCAATTTCAACAAACTCTTAAGACGTTCACCAACCTTGCACGCAAATTTTACAGTTAAACCCATTTCACCTTCCACTGGCCCATAAAGTTACATATTTTGTCCTAGACTAAACGCAGCTGTTCCGAAAACAAAATTGGAAACTTACGAACAGCCAGTATGGGGATTAGAAATTAAATTATACAGCTTACGATGTGCTAAAAGCCTTAAACAGGCCCAAAAGAAAAACATATAATGCGCTTAAGGAGCTCTGGGACCTTTTCCACTCTTGAGCAACCCTTTTATTATTCCGGTAACCTCCGCATAAAATAAAATATAGCGCTTAACGTTCACAGCTTCCTAATTATACAACTAAAATGTTAATGCCCTCACTATTTATGCACGGCTATTTCAAAACGGTTCCACCTGAAAAAAAAAGGTTTTGCACGTTCTCCTTTTACTTTTAAATGCACCTTTTCCTTGTGTAATTGTTATTACATTATTTTCCTTCCTGGGCTCCAGTCAAAGTGTGAAACAAACATTTTTATATCGCTTATTTCATAACGTTTCGGCGAGACAACAGCGCCATCATCAGATTTAAGGCTGATACCCAACACACAACCACTCGCATCTTCAACATTACAAAAAATAAACACTTACAAAAAAGGAAAATACACTTAATGTTCTAATTATAGTTATAATAATAGTTTAGATGGTGATTACTGGAAAATTTAAGTATTTCTGGTTGGTTAACAATCTTGTCTTATTTAGCGTTGAGAAAATTATTTTTTAATTGAAAAGTGTCTTTAGTTTGCGTGCAGCAAGCAACTTTAGAGCCACGCTGAAGATTTCGAAGTCCATTTGTACATTAAAGTGAAGTTTAAATCTTAGGAAATCATGCTTCATGCAAAACTTGCGATCATTCATAACTGGTTTCCTCCTAGAAAATGATCTTCAACACATGATGATGTAATTTCTATTGGTTAGCATACACTCTTACAGATTTTTATGCACAGACAGATGTTCCTAAATAAGTGCTGAAAACACAACTTAAACGTATACTAATAATGATGGGCAAAGAAAATTAGACCCGAGCGTCTAGTAATTTTGCATTTTTAACAGTTTTTCGTAGAATTTCTAATAAAATCAATAAAAATAAAAGCCGCATGTTAAAGATTGTTTTTAAGCAGTAGTACAGGAATTATTTCAATAGACTTTTTCCCGTCAAACACGCTCAGTTCAAGCGCATATTTAGTAAATTAAAAAATGACCTCCAAAGTCCATCTAAGTTGGAACACACAGAAGAAAAGAAGCTTTTACATTCGATCCTGAAACTTTCCAAAATGTTTATTTTATGTTAATACCGGGGCAATACATTCATCCATTCCACCATTGGCGATTGATTTATGTTCTGTAGACCCGAAAATCACACTGACGACCTAAAACAACCTTTCACATAAAATGGCCAAGTTAGTCGATTTGATAGATAGACGTATTTTGTCTGTATCGCAATGCGTACTATCAATCAGTTGAAGTTTATAAGAAATATATAATATATTCTGTCGGCATCCACAATCTCGAAACTTTTTCAGGCATAGAAAAGCCCTTGGGGAACTTTGTCATTAAATCACACGGCAGCGTCTTACCAGAGGTATGAAGGGCGGATTACGGCGCCTTATTACAACAGAACCCGCTTGTTTACTGCACAAAATTGAAATTTTATATGCACGGAACTGGATTACTTTGCCCAGAAGTGTTTGCTAAAAACTCTTGAAACTTCAAAAAATTTTAACAATATCCGATCAGCTTAATAATTAATCTTCGTTCCGAATTTTGGAACAACAAACGATTATACGAAATCACATCGTTGCGAAACAATGATACAAATAAATAGCTGCAGTCCCTCGGCAATAAATTTCACCCCCATAAATATAGACCATTGTGATGCTCGCAGGATAGTTACTAATGAAAAATCAATACGTCCCGACCTAATGGACCATTTTATCTCATACGAAATAGTCCAAATTATAAAGCAAACCAAGATATGGATCGATCGGGATACACTCGATGAAATATGGTTCGGGGCCAAGAAAAAAACACAATTGCTCTCCACTGTATACATGGTGTCTGAAAATGAATTAATCATTGAGGAATGGATGGATTGATTCGTTTTTTTGCACATTTCAAAGCTACTTCATGCTCCACTATTGACTGCTGAGTATTTAGAGTGCACCACCGAAATGTCCTCTAGGGTGGCAAAAATACTTTACATAATGCAGAGCTTGGAATGAATATGTTAAAACTAGAGCTCGCTTTCAACATTGTCGAAAGAACACTTGTATTCCAGCGGATGCATTAAGCATCATTTAAATTTTTGTTTTCGCATTGGAACGATGCCAAAAAAATCCACTATTTAAGGCCACATTTTATGGAAGCATTAAGCCTTCAAATTTGTAGGAAAACATCGGCAGAGATTCAACGACAATTTATTAAATTCGTCGTCACAATTATCTCTATATTTATCCAAAACCAAATATTTTTTTTTATTGAATAATGGCAAGGAAAGTCACGAAATTTCTTTTGTAACAAATTATTGAAAAAACGGATTTTTATATTTTCAAGATGATGTTATTATCAGTTTACTAAGCTTCATACTGCAACAGAAATTCATTGCAATACATGAAGAAATTATAATTATAGTAGACCAAAAATGCAACTTGTCATCTTTAATATCAAGTTCATGAACCATCCTTCACACGGACAGATAAAATTGAAAGCACAATTAACTGACTTTCAAAAGAGATAGACTTATATAAGCATTTACCATTATAGCAGCTTACCACTGGAAGCAAACCACTTTTGAAGATGCAAGCCACTCGTGCTTGCGAAACGTCAAGAAGAAATTCTACCCAACGACGGCCTAAAAACCCGAAAAACCCATTAATTTCAATTAATAGACTGTTAAAGAAAAATAAATCCCGTGGCTTCTGGCAAAGATTGTCCAAAAAGTTGCTTGATACTCAGCGAAATAGTGCCGTTTTAAAAAAATATGAACTTATTTAACACCTTTTCACCGCTGGCTCAATGTTAAGCCACATTTTCCGCTAGATTCATCAATTTATACGCCATTTACTTGCATCACTCAATTTCTATATGGAAGGCCTGTACTTTGTCCCTACCAAATTGACTTCAAAGAAAAACCTTTTCACTCGACAAAGAGAGATGTGAATTCGAAAAGAGCTGTTAAAGCTATAACGTGCCTGACATGTTTTAGCAATTTATAAAATCGTCAACAAGTGTTATTCAGGTGTCTCCAGGTGGCTCTAATCTGCCTATTCGCATTATCATCGAGCTGCACTTTTATTCTGAGAACATATTATAAATAAGATATAAACACATATTAAAAGTGAGCTGTTGGAGAACAAAGTTATTTTTATTAAACGTTGCATTTTCAAGCTTCAACACCGAGTTAACTTGGATTTTTTTCGTAAACTGACTGCACTTGATTAGATTTCCTTCATACGCAGCAAAAGTCTAAGAAATTTTTCCAAATTTTATTGCTAAACAATAGTCAAAAATCCATCAGTGAATAAAAGTATAAAAATTAACTGTTATAATTTAACCGAATATGATACACATTTGTTTATACAACCGTTTAAGTGAAAATCAGCAACGCGTCTTGCCTTTAGATAAAAAAAATTAAAAATGTTTTACTACAAATGAAATCAGCCGTAAAACAATATTAATTGCCCAATTAGTTCAAGTAAATGTTCATAAATATGGCATCAGTACTTTAAATTGCCTGGAGTTTGCATGATGTAAGCAATCGATCAAGTGCTATGCAAGCGAGCGAATAAGATTTCACTAGCGGATGAGGTGAAAAACGCAAGTTAAATGCAAAGATATAATTTTTTTAACTAAAAGACATTTAGACTTTGAAAGATTCTTAAACTGGAGCATTATAAAAAACAAAGAGGTTTTGGGTGACAAAAAATTGCAGCGATTTTACCTAAGAATCACCTAATTAAACGCTATTATTAGCGAGCATTTCTTGTTACTTTACTCAGAAAAACAAAAAAGGTAACATGGCGTGTAACCGAATATAATCAAAATGTTTTACAATGTCTTTAATCTAAACATTTCATTAGACAATTGAATGCCTCGCACATCGATAACGTTATCATAAAGCAAAGTGCTAAAACTTTTAATGAAGACCTAAACATAAAGTTGAAATGTTATAATTACGACGCAAATAAGAAAAGTAGCAAACTTTATACGTAATGAGAAGTAGCAGTGCAATTCCAGATTAATACTTTGCCACTTTAATGCCACGATGTCGAGTGAATTCAATGCGTAAAAGCTGATCTTTAAACTCCGGAAAAGCAATTTATTTGGACGTATGCTGCCATTTTTAGTAACATTGAAAGCATTAAAAACGTCACCCATTGAACAAACAAAAAGTTTCATTATGTATTTTTTCATAATAGGAACAATTAATTTTGAAAAAACATACTCAAGACTTTACAGCATGAACTGCAAAATTTCAAAATATAGAAGACATTTTCAAGGAAAAATGTTGTGTTGTAACAACTGTATGTTTAAACCCTTTATTTGACAACTTTTTACCGGATTTTTTACAATGATTCATACTCGAATTTAGGCAGACTCGAATCGTGTGTGTTTGCAAACACGTAGATCGCAAAATTTGTTCCTAAACCCACTTTGGATGGAAGTCACTAGTTGGATGTAAAATCGATCCGATCACAATCCCCAAGCCTTTGAAGCAACGTAAGAAAAATGCGCAAACCATGAAGCAAAAGGAAATGAATTAGATTTTGATGCCCAAGTAATTGGAAGATTTCCTGAGAAAACCCGTCACCAGTAGGGATAAATGAAGCGAAAACTAATGGCTTCGTAAGCCTCTCTTGCATTGTTCCAGAGGAGCAACAGATGCAAGCGATTCGGACGCGAGTGCACAGAACAGTTTCGAAACCGACGCAGCTGAAGCTGGATATAGAATCTACAGGGTGTTTCTCAATTAATTCCATATCAGGAAAAATTGCTCTGAGGAAAAGCTGTCCCGGTATTGATTCGCAAGAGCAACAGATACCTAGGAGAAGTTCGCAAAATACGTTTGATTTGAAAAGTACGCTTTCTTCAAACCTTTGTATTGAATGAAAAATAGACGCTCCAAGAAGGATTACACAACAATCGCAACATCCGCAAGAACACGATTGAAGTTTCACCCTTTTTTCACTTGCAGCTGAAAGTAACGGGAAGGACCAACAGCTTCGAATGCAAATGCAAGCGACTTCGGCAGAAAGACGAGCGCGACTTACCAAAGAGCCGGTGAAAGCCACCAGTTTCACTTAGCACATTAACACAGTAAACTATTTACAGAGTTACACAGTAATCCGATTGGCAACCAATGCGAACAGTGCAACCAACGCCGGAAACTTGAACAACCAATTAGGTCGGCTGAACACGTCGGAAAAGTTTGAACATCGGCCCGAAACTTTTCCGGATCAACGACGAAAACGCGTGATCTGGATCGCGCGCGACCGTCCCAGAACCTGCTGCCTAAACAGTCTTCCTGCGGGACTACTGACTTCTGCGGCTGCAGCAAAATCTGAGCCTCCGCACGATCTCGCCGGAGAGAAGCGCACGCGTTTTCTCCTGGACCCCATTCTGTTTGACACCTCTGCTCCTGCAAACCTGACCCTTTGGACTTTTTTCCCCAGTATGTAGGCGACGTATTTACCTACAGTTTGAACCGTGAGGACTTGATTTTAGGGTGATTTCATTCGTCAGCCCAGTGAGGGTTTGAGGCCTCAATTCGACAAAGCTGCCCTGCTAAGACAGGAAGTCGCATCTGCAAAAACGAAGTTTTGAGATATTAAGCAATTTGTAAATTATGACAGGCCATCTTCGCTTATTTGCAAAAGTGGTCTTTTTTAACATCTCAATGTGGACTTCACGTTAATAAACTTACACAAGAAATCTTAAGGTTGTACATTTCGGGATTTGATAAAAAAAAGACTTTTGTTAGATATGACTTTTTGTTTTAGTATTCTCATACTATTAAGGTATACACATACTAAGTAATTTTGCAGTATAGTACTCATAGTTTAGCAAATAACATAAAGTTCAGTTCAATCAATGGTCCACTAAATTTGGTTTTATAAAAAAGGTTTTTAGAGCCCCTTCTAAATTGAACCTCAACAAAATTTGCTAAATAGGGTTTAGGTGTAATTTTGTTCATTTTGAATCTTGCAGAATAGTCAATAAAATCATGAAAATCATTAAGACTCATTTCAATCATCTCTAGCCTTGAACTATTTGATTTTTTGACACACATTTTAAAATCCTCGAAATCTAATACTTTTCCTGTTTGTTTTAAAGACTTTTCCACTTGGAAAGAGT